GCGCCGGTAGCAGACGAGGAAGAAGAGGCCGAGGACCCAGGCGCACGAGGAAGAAGACGGATCGACTAGGAAGAACACAAGAGGACGCAAGAAGACCGTGTAGACAGCAGAGGCGAATCCCGTTTCTTTACGACGCAGAAGCTGGGACTGAGCGGCGTCGACGCAGAGACCAGCGCACGACTATCAAGGCCAAAAGTGGGAAGTCCACGAGATAACGGTTAGGGCACGAAATTAGGTCAAGTTCACGTCGGCAGGGAAAAAATAGTATAGGAGAGTGTTAAAAAATTGAGGACATTGGTGGCAACGAATTGCAGTATCATAGTAGGAGACATTTTGACGCACTATTGCCTGCATAAAATATTATACTTAGGACATTTATTATTCTGTTATTTCAGCCACAGTTAAATTGTAAATGAGAGTAGTGCACTTGCACACATTTTTTTCTTTGCATGTAATATTTTGAAGCAGGAGATTGTAAATTGAAATTTTGGTTTCATGTGCAATGTGAACAGAATTGCATAGACTTTGATACATTTAATTTTCCAAGGGAATTCCCAGTGGAAATTAGGGTAATCATTTCGGAGTCTCAATTTTGGTGTGAATTATTTGTGTCCATTCATATGTGTGTGTGTGTGTAGTAAAGGTTTCCATTTGTGTTCTGCTCATTCTTTGTAAAGGCGTGATTCTATATTTTTTTTGTTTTTGTCATGAAATTATGCCACTAAAAGTTTATGAGTAAATTATACGCTCGTGCGTGTGCAATCTTTGTAATTTTATTCTGTCAAGGGTTCAAACCTTTTTCGCACCCTGAAGATCCTGCTCCCTAGATGTTTAAGTTCGCTTCATGAGCAAAATCTTGATAATACGCTTACGGCTCATGTGTGCTGCTGTTGAAGGTGGTAAGTTTGGGCGTAGGTGGGTATCTCTCTCTCTCTCTCTCTCTCTCTCCTTCTTTCTCTCTCTCCCCCCCTCCTCTCTCTCTGTGTGTGTGTGTGTGTGTGTGTGCGTGTGTGTTTTTACGGGGGCAGGGGAAAATCTTCTAAAGACACAG